CACATACTTCTGCGGTATTCCTTTGCGAAGAAGTGGATCCATAAGAGATTCGTGGTCAACTGAGTCGAAGACTCCTTTTAGGTCAAGGAACATGACAACCGTTGGCCGAGTGTGCGTATGGCGTAGCTCAAGGACTTGAGGCAGAGTGAAGATTTGGTAGATAAACTCACGGCCTGGTCGAAATCCCGCTTGTAGTTCGCGGATATTTGTCTCTCTAAGCGGTGTCAGACGTCGAAGTATGATGGAGGCTAGTANTCCACGGTGGTTTGCGCAGTCGTTGCGATTTCCCTTCTTAAAAATTAGAACGATCAATGATTCGCTCCAGGATGATGGAATGCGCTCAAGTGACCAGATGTTACGCATTAGATCACTAATGAAGTCTACGAGGTTATCGCCTCCCAACTTGAAAAAAGTGGAGGGGGAAGCCCGTCCTTCGCAATAAAATGCATTGAATTAGTGAAGAATAATCTTCGAAGGGGTGAAACCCACACTCAAAACCATCAAGAGTGCCCAGTGCCTCTGATCAATCGAATGGGCTAATCCAAGCTAATACTGTAAACACACCTATCCTTCATGAACGGGAACAATTTTGAAGTGCAGACAGCCCGGAACCCGATTGGAACTACGCTCGTGCGCTGTGTTTTATTCGCCTGTTGGATCTATTCATCGTTTTACTGGGATGGGCTTAATTGTTATTCTCGTAACCCCAAGGGGCACATCTTATACGACAAATCAATTTAGCAAAGTCAAAGTCAGAATCCGCTTGGTTCATTTATACGGTAATTACTCTTACCATTGTCATGTCAAAGATGATCAATCTGGGTTTTTTGTCGAGATATTGAGCGGAAATGTGGTGGGATGAATAGAGTTCAATCCACTATACACCCGTAAGGATGATGGGACAGACGAATGACTGAACACATCTCTAACATGACTAACTGAGCACAAACGTGACATGTGGGACGACATCAGCGATCACTCACGCATTGTTTGAGAGCGGCCAAAAGCTCCTGTTATGTCACCGTGATCCACTACCTCGGTTACGGATGGTTAGAGACACTGAGCGATATGGTTGAGTGTCGTAAACAGAGGTGTTCGTGCATCTTCTCAGTTTTTTTGCAACACTAGTTTAACGGAATTCCCCGCTTTCTATTCGACTCTATTCCCGACTTTCCTCTCTTTCTCTTAGTGGTCATCCAAATGAGTAGCCAAAATACAGCAACCAAAACCGGGGCACGAAGGTGCATGGTTGACGGTTGCGCAAACCGAAACATCGGTTTTGATCATTGGAGGCTTTATTCATTGTCTGCGTTAAGCCAATCCTGTACGTCCAAAAACGGTTATCAATGTGCAATCAACTCAGTAAACAAGAGCACGGATTTGTATCACGTGTGCATGTTGATATGACTCAAAAGAGAGGTCGGGCTCTGACCCTAAAGCAGAACTAATATTCCCAATACGGACGGAAAAACCCACCCCTCATTTTCGTGCTAGATATACGGAGATGCCAACAAGGGACGAAAAACCGCTGACGAACCTACATAAGCGACCGGATAGAAATAGAACACCATCATTCCAAGAGCACCAAGGCTGTAAACTCGATAGGTGATGAAACGCTGGTAAACAAATTGCGACCATGCTGATGCTTTGGTGGTACAGATTACCAAATTATCACCCCACACGGAGGAGTACTTAAATCTCACCATCATCGCCTGACTTTCCCCATTATCTTTGTATGGTAGCTCTTCGATTGACCGCTTCCCCGTTCCTGAAACTTGTGAGGTTATAAAGTCAACAGAAGGATGTAAAAATGATAAAGTAAATAAGTGAATTCAGTCAATCTGAGCTACGAGAGCCGCATTTCAATAGCTTTTCAGATTGATACTATGTGTACACCAATGTGAACTTTTAACCATCAACGTGTGTTTCCCTTTTGAAGCTATCCCTACCGTAACCGTTTTCACTTTCTCCGTTGTCATTTAGTGTCGGGATGGTACACGGCTGTGCAGTATGTTTTATAGCGTTTTATGGAAAACCAAGCTAGTGGTTCTGACTAGATTAGCTACGAAAATAAGCAAGGAGATAAGCTTTTAGAATCGACGGCTTACAGGTATAACCCCATGTTCTATGTCTGCTGGAGCAGTCATAGGCTCTTGCGAATCTGGTGATGGCGCAGTAGTTTAGTCGCTGTCACAGGCGTGCTTTGAACATTATGGTTCGAGCCCTGCCACCACCACTTGACTATGCAGGTAGACTACTGTCGTCTGGTTTAATACCACGCCTAGCCCTTCTGGGCCTCATGTAGTTCGCCACTCCAAGCTCCGGGGGTTTAGGTTGCCGGATCCAATCACTGAACAGGTCCTCGTGACTGTGGGGTCCGCCCCGTCTGCTGTTTATCATACTTAGGTGTGTAATGAAAAATCCAAAAAGAGTTCAACCATATACTACCGAGATGAGTGCATGTACCTCTGGAAGTTTTCAAATATGTATTTCTCCACCGAATGTGCGCACTTTTTGAGTTCACCGATTCCCACAAATATGTATAAAAAATCTCTTTTGAAACTGTTAATGTTATCGTGAACATCGGACACTCATTTGGTTGTCTTATACCTAAATTCCTATATCCTATCAGTATCATTTCGTTATAAAGAGGATGTTATACAAAATACTTTATCCGGTCTTGCAAACGGTGGAGTCCAACTCCTCCCAGGGAACAGAGTTCTTGACTTAGAAAAAGCCGACGAAGACGCCTCGTTCAATGACGCACAGGCCGTCCAGCATATTTTAAACCGCTTGGCGATAGAGGTTTCCAGCCAGATACGGCGAGCGCTGTGAATCATCTAAGTGCCAAAGCGTTTGGACAAGACTGCCACGAGCCTGTGCTCGCACTCGCCCTCTCTGGTGATCAGATAGGACTAGTCGAAAGCTTTAATACCCCGGGAACTTGAGCACAGCTGGATGTGGTGTCGGGGAAAAGATCATATGAGGAATAAAGAAAGCTAGAACAGCTCTTGCCATTCTGTGATTGCCAATTAAGAGAAGGGTGTACAGAGGGCCGGTTTGCAGTGTCTTCGTGATGCGAGACCTGGGCTCACCGAGTTGAGGGAGCCAATCGACTTTCTGAACTCGAACACTAATGCCTCCAAAGTAATGCTCCTGTCTAGTGGAAACATCGGGTGAGCAATGACGAAACGCGTCGTGTATTGGGTGTGAATGATCCTTCTCTAACATAAATAATTGATATACACCGCCCCCAATGGCTCGCTCACGTTGTACATATGCCCACCCAGCCTCTACCTTTCCGTGCTCTCTTTGCATGTGCTGGGCAAGGTTGGAAGAAGCAAAGTGACGTTCAGACCACAACATGGCGTAGAGGTACGAAGAAGCTAGCTTCAGCTTTAGCCTCGATTAGTGCAGCCCGAACCTCCAGGTGGACACACAAGGGATGAAACATGGCACAATATAGAAGTCAGTGACGCGATTGTTGTACGGTTCGTCTGCTGAAACCCCTTTCCCCATATTAGAAAAAAGATATATCTCAAGATGTGCATCACGAAACCAACAAAAATATTCGTTCCTCTCGTTCTCAGATTGTTTATTTTCTCCATTTTTCAATTTCCGAGGTAGGCAGCGGATGAAAAAAGCCAAGGGCGGTCAAACCAAGACCTGGCACGAGGGTATGAAAACTCTAACCTGGGGACTCGGTCAAATAGATTCCGTTAGGCTCCCTGAATGGAGACCCCGAGATCATGGTAACAGGTGGTTACAGACACTGAGTGATGTGTCTGTATGGAAAACAATGACACTCGTGCATCCACTCACTGTCCTTGCGACCCCAATCTGTATGAATTCTCTGCCTTCTCTTTGAATCCGTTCTCAAAATTCCAATCTTCAATCTGCTCTTTTATCCGCGTGGGCAACCAAAACCACAGGAACCAAATCCGGCACACGAAACGTTGTTTGGTTAATGGTTGGGAAAACTGAAACTGATAAACTTCCCGGTGCATACAACTTTCATTTTACTAACTGCACCAGTTCAACGGCTGTTACTGTGCTGATGGTGTTGCCTCTGAATCTCGTTTTCGTTATGTGTTTTCAAGATTCTTCAAAACTGTTTTACAGATAATTCCAGCTTGTTTCGATCTGGATAGCATGGATGTTCATCTTACCTTCAAATGACTATCACAGTAATCTGCTCAATGATGCACAACGATCATGTCGTTTCCGATCCTGTCTCTCTTGAAGCTGCGATTCACTGCAATAAATAAAAATAGCTCGCCATAACTGTACCATAAGACATCAGGGTCCCAATGACATCAAAAATGCCAGTTCGAAAGTTTGTAAACATTCGGATTGTGCAATCGCTTTGTTCACCGTCACTTCATAATGACCTTGTCTTTCCCAATGCATTGACTGTGCACCAGTTTCCCCTCGACTTAGACAGTCAAAACATTTTTCCAAATGAAAAGCTTCAAAAAATCACTTCTATCGTTCGTCAAAAAAAAAACGGCGCCCATAGAAAGCACGCTACTGTCCAACTAATTTGCGTTTTAATCAACCGTTCAGCTAACAGAATGCTTTCTACAATCGTGTGTGTGTGTGTGGTGCACTACGCCCATTTAGTTGTTATCAAAATTTCATATCAGGATGATTTTGTGCTCTACTGTATGCGGTTCATGAACAGAGCTAGAGATTTATTTGTTTGGTGACGGGTGGGGGCTTATTTTGACATAAAATAACTAATTCCCCAAATCGAAAACCGAAACTATTGATCTGAAGACCGTGCATATTGTTGGTGTATCTATGCTTGTGGGTAGTTCAACTGAGCAAAACTATTGGAGGGTAATATCATACTCGTTTCTCGGATTGATTCAAGATAAACGGCTATTCTTCTCCTGATTCATTCGCACTTATCGTTGTTTACAGTCAGGTAGAGCGTTCGTATGAAGATCTTTGGAAATGTGTTTTCTAAGGTACGGGTAAGTAGATCGTAGAAGAATTCAATCTAGACCCTCACCGGCAGTATAGTTGTACAAACAAACAGCGACCGGTCCGGAATCCATCATCATCATCACAGATGGTGCTGGAGCGGGAGCCGGCGGTGACGGCTCGGCAGCCGGAGCTGGAGGAACAGGTCGATGATTGGCTTCTTCCGCTTCCCTCCCGGAGTTCTCCACTGTCTGTGTTGGTGGTGTGGGTGGCGGGGGATGCACAACTTCTGTGGGTGGAGATAATGCTTTGTTAACTGG